ATAGGCCATAAAAACATTCACTTTGTTGAACGATATAAATTCATTTTCAACTGAAATATTATGGTTAAAGATTGCAAAAAATGCTGCTAAAAGCGTATCGATATTTGTTCTATAGATGTATTTTAGGACGGAATATTGAGTTACATAAATATAATATAAGGATGTATTTAAATATGGAATACTTTGAATATTAAATACTAATTGAAGTGAGTGAAGATAGATTTGACCGCAAAGTGGAATGAATTGATTTCAAAATGAATTGAATTGAACTGAATGAATCAAATGACGAATGCATGAAACCTGAGAGCTCTAGCACTAGACGGGAATATTATTGATGGACAAGACTGATTAATAGACTGCAGTCGTGATATAAGACGGCAATCTTCGCTTGACACGTATCTTTATACGAATGTTTTTTACGAGTGCATTTTATTTGATTATTTACAGCATCTGTTCGTTAGTCACTATATAAATATAAAATGCTTCATTGGTGACTGACGACGAAATTTTAAGAACGTTCAAATCGTTTGTGCTACTATATCTTATATGCATATATTTTTATGGATCTTTTGGTTACATAAAAGCCATCCAAAGTAATGTTCATCTTTAATGACAAGATCTCCCAGAAAGGGAAAAGATTCTCGGAAAAGAAGCGATCAGATCAGTGAGCATGTTACTGGTGAGCCAGCAGGCAGACAAGCAGGTTTCTCTAATTAGCGGATGCAACGAACGAACACTATTGGAGTAGCGCATTTAGCTGGAAAATGAAACGACCAACTTTACTTCCACACAAAAAAATGTTGGATAGTATATGTGAAAGAGTTGTGTTTGGTGTCATCTCTTTCATCAACATTTCGTCAACAAACTTCCGTATGATACAGCTTCTGGATGTAATATTTGATAAAATTTCTGTATGCATTCCATCAAAACAATTCAAATGTAGACTTTATAAACACAAGCTTATACAATGACATTCACCATTCACACCAAACAATACACGGATCAATCATGCNGAACTTCGTGACACTCACCTAAAATCGTATTCATTAATTTCGTTCTCAAAGCATTCCAAATCGAGGAAATCATCCTTTCCAATAGATTGACTGTTTGTTAAGAGATACAAGTGAGTATCTAAAAATTGCTGATGGCCAACTGAAGCTGATGGCCAACTGCTTCTTTCGTGAATGTGAACGGGACTGATGACACCGCTTCGTTGATAATTGATCATGCAAACATGATTGGGAATATTCGAACAATACATCGTGAAAATTATCATTTTTATGGAAAAAGTTTGCAAAAAACGACTGGAATCGCGAACACTGTGAAATCCAATGCAAATAGTGATTAACTTTAGAGCAATACACCATATGAATGAGTTTTGCACCTGATTACGAACAAAACAGTGTAGGTATGATACATGGATTCCGAGAATCAATGCAAAAGCAAAAGTATCCATGCTCTTGGGAAGATACCCGGTGTTGATAGCTAGGAGACCGTATCACGACTAAGCGAGACAAAAGCAAAGCGATGAACCAACCGATTGACTGAAACAAATCCATTTCTAGAAAAGAGCACTGTTGTGAACTCAATAATCATAACAGCAAATAGTTATGATCAACTGATTTATTGCAAATTAATCTATTAATTTCGACAAATATTCAGCGAGTTGACTCCTAATGATCATTCCTTCTTTCAAAAATTTTTTTTTCAAAAGAACTTAAAATTCGTTTACTTTATTCATTTACTGCCGTTTTTTACATTCCGTTTATAACCATGCTAAGTAGCTCTCAGCCAACTAACAGTGTCGAAATATTCTCGAAAATTTGAAATTCTGAATCTAAAGGAACTACAACAAGCGATCATTATGCCAGGAATTGATTTGAATTACTGCAAAATATGTGATTTCATCCATTGATTATTTGAAAATGTTGGCTGAGCAAGTGCCATCTTGAAGTGGAACCATAAGGTAGGCATTGATTGCGTCATACACTCCAGGTTCACGACAAGTCGGAAACCTTTCCATAGTGCACAGCATGAATCTATCGAAATTTTAATGCGAAGTGTTTTTCTGTTAAAATTGCCATTTTTTGGCAATTCCAACAAAATCTACCGAAACTCTGTTGGAAAAACTGTGCCAATTTTTTCGAAAATTTTCGAAATCGCTACATAACCGACACGAAAATCCACGAGATTTAATGTGAACTTTGCTCAGTCAGACTTTGCAATTTCTGGTTGCTCAATGCAATTGCTAATTATCAGAGTGACTTTCTTACCTTATTTCCAGATCAAATAATTATTATACTAGATAATTTCCATCCAATTAAGCGCAACAACCTGCGTTTTTGTATATTCAAAATAAGATATGAAAACTACTGTCATGGCGATTAGACGATAGAATAAAGCAATCGATTGGTTACGTTCAGTCATCAAATACGACAGAACGGTGGGCGGATGGAAGGATGGATCACTCATTCAGTTCAATTGCCGGATTATGTAAAGCTGTCAGCCCTCATCAAACTACCAGACAGCTTATCTTGGAAATCCTCGAATATACAGACGATCGATCAAATTCACATCTCTCTAGGCTTTCAGGATTTCAGGATTAATAGACGCATGTCTCTGGAAAACGTCAACGAAGAACGATCAAATATTAGATTCATATTGCTCGTAAACGATTGAACGAAAGCGATAGAAGACGACTAAAAATAGATGCATATTCGAATATAAATTGCGTACACATAATCGGAAAAAGCTTTCTTTTAGCTCCGAAATACAATTCTAAAAAAGTCTGCACACAGACACACGGATCAATATGCTGCTTAGACGTACAATCCCATACTAATTCCACTTATCGTTGTGCTCATGGATTCAGCATGCTTTGCGAGATTCATGGAGCGTATCATGGATTAAGCATATACGGCAATTTGAATGTGTATATACCAATAAGCCTAAGCCATCACGAACAATGCGTAAGCTTCAACACACACCAAAATAGTCCTCCTCATGCTTCAGCATAGTAAAGTATGGCTTCATTTATTTATGTATGTGCTCCATACACTTACCATCCATAAAAAAAGTCATCTGCAAACATACTGGATCCATCCTCAGTAGATCTACATATGCCATCGATAAATCCATGAACTCAATGAATATAATATCTGTGGAATATGCATTGTATTACTCATATATTACTACATTTTATTACTCAATTTGTTCGTATTATATGTTTCATAAGGCAACCAACAACAACGTCTAATTTAGCCGGTTATATTCATGAACAATGGAAGCGACTCAATTTGCGATACTCAATATCAGTTTCTATTGCATACGCATCAAATTCAGGAACATTTCCATATTATACAGAAAGTAGACACTACAATACGCAAAATCTACCAGTGTATCGACACAACTACATCGTAACAGCATAAGATGAATTGCAATATCACAGTTTCGTGATTCCATCTATAAATTGGAACCTTACATCGGACAAGAAACAAAGCAGATAATTATGAAACTATTCGCATGCACATCACAACAAATGAATTAACACCTTACATCGAAAATTCCCAAACCACAAAATGAACTCGCTTCAGCAAATCACCATTGCAGCATCGAATATAAAAACAAAAATTATAAATCACCTCAAACAACAATTGACGCATCAAATTCAGAAACCCTTCCATGAACTACAATCTGAGCAATACGTACATAAATACCGATGTCTTCCCTAAATTCAAAATACAATGAAAAGAAAAATACTCAAATTCAGATGTATATGGTGAAATGGCGCCGCATATCGAAAGTGTATTGCTGCGAAGAGATCGGCATAATTCTCGTAAATATCACACGATTACAGAAACGGATCACTTTCAACGCCTATGCGATCAATCACTTCAAGAATTGAACTGAACAACTGCATAATCTCCGGTGACCATCCAGTCTTTACTCGTGCCGTGCTCTTTCTGAAGTTTTTCAATCGTCTTCGCACTCAGACCAACTTGCGTTTCGGCTTTCAACGTTCGAAGAGCCACTAATGGAGCTGGAGCGAATCCGCGTAAGGCAAACTAAAATGACACCTCCGATTATCACCGCATATTCGCGAATCAACCACATAATCACACCATAAAGTTTTCACCATCTTCCAAAAACAATCTCAACGCAACAATAACAACGATAAAAACGCAAAAATGAAACGATGCATATTCTTGTAGAAAATGGTCACCTTAAAAGGAGTATCAAGAGGCCAATCACGATCGCCCACCAACTTTCTGTAGTTCAAATCACCTTTGAAAATGATCAACGCTGATTTCGAGAGATCCTCGTATAAATCACCAGCATGCGATCGCATATCGCAATACGCAAATGGCATCGTCCAAAAGGCATGCGCACGAAACTCGAACTTATCCTGAAGCATTTGCAAAAAGGATTGTAGATGAGCCGGAATTAATTTCGCAGAGTTTGTCGAAATTTTTCAAAGAAGAACGAGGGAATTCGTTGTTTTCACCAACATTCGTCATCAAATCGTTCCATCGATGACCGATTTTGTTCAACACCTCAATATGACTTCCACGTAGCATTTCAGTGATCCACGAGAAATCGTCATTGGTCGTATCCGAGACAAACCAAGGATGTGCCTGTAAACCGAACTCATCTCAATAAAACACCTTCAATCACTCACCAATTAACAATATTCCTCCACCATCTTAAAATACGATCATCAAAAACGTCAGCACAACACAAATTGAAAACTCGCACCTTTCCATGCAAAACCACTTTTTCCACTTTCAATTTCGTAACCAAATAATCCGCCAGTACCATATCGGCGAACAACTCAAAACCTGCGTTATCCAAAACAATATCCACTCGTTTTGACTCGACATTCCTTAAAAATTTCTCATTCAGGTTTTGAAAATAATAAGTCGAAACTTTAAAACAAAAAGCTTAAGCTGCAAGTGAAATGAAGTTTTGTGCTCGCTT